GTTTGAGTGCCAATGCAGTCTTATCGGAATCGAGGCCAGTATCTTTAAGCAGCTTGAAATTGCACAATCTATGGAACAGAATCTTAGATATACCAAAAATTAACCCCTTACTCACACAGGTCTGCTTCAAATCTGCTAGTTTTCAATACCGCCGGCAAGAATAAGATTTTCCTGTCGACAATCCTCCGAATTTACATGAGGAAACAGTCTCCTTGCTACTAGTAGCCTAGAGGACTATTTCAGCAGGCCACGGAGCCATATTTTAGCACCTGTAGTGCATGAGTGCAGAACGGCTCCACCTGGGTACGTTCGACCCAGCAAAGTGGTGCTGGTATGTGCCGATGCATTGCAGGTGCTAAAATACCGTGGAGCCATGGCCTGCTTGAAGGGTCTCCTTTGCTACTAGAAGCAAGGTGCCGGTTCGCTGCGTCGAGTAAATCCGGCGGAGAAGTGACAGGAGAAAATTTTCGGTATTTTTTATACATGACGAATAGGTATGTGGCAAATATGCACCTACGAATGATGCTCTTGGCGAAATGACGTTTAATTAATGATGTCGAAAAGCTAATCGAAAACATTTTTGAAGCCATTGGATTACATATAATAAGACAAATGGCCTAACACTTTATTTGGTCTATTCTTTGAACGTGTTTCAGTGTTAAAAAATTATTCTAAAGATACTTACGAAGGAATTAAAATATTTATTCATATGCAGAGCCCCGTATTCGTTTCAAATTGTGAGGGTAGCAGCTTCAGGAGGTTTCGCTGATGATTTCGGTCTTTCCCATACTTAGAAAAACAGAAACTTTATGATCTTGATTTCAAGGCCCAACAGCATTAAATGTCCAGTGTGCTTTAGCCGTTTATTTTGTGGTGTTCCCGTTGTCCTCTTTCCATGTGCTTTGCGAGTCTCTCCTGAGGTATCCCGATGACATAACTAAAACATGTTAGTTATCATTTGTCGACCTGGAGAAGTAGTAATCAGTCGATGGTATCTGTAACTGGTGTGTTCCAGGTGTTATCGATTCAGCATCCAAGCAATCCTTCGAAGTACTTCATTTCTTTATTGTCCGGCATTGCACCCTTTCGATCAGTGTTCAGCATTATTTATTGCAGATTAGCGCAGATACATTGACAGTCTGGAAGACCCTAACTTCTTGTTCGTCACTACTGAGCAGTTTGGCTCCCACGTTACTCACCTGGCCGATTCGGTGCCAGTTTCAATTTACTACCTGCCATCACACGAATGCTTTCTCGGAATTGTGAAAAATCTCGACCTGCTTCAGTAGGCTATAGTAGTCAATATTTATAAATGGTTTTATGTTTATGTTGCATTTTCATAATTCTTAACATTAGCGATAGTTCAGTTAGCCTTTGCATTTATCCAATAGAATTTTAACAAACTTTATTAATATTAGAGTTAGTTCCCACTCATTGGGAAACAGCAGACTACTGGCAATGCTTGCCACATGGCTGTAGATTTTGCCTTTAAAATAATGGGCTCCTTGCTGATGTTATAGAAACGCAAATAAGCTCCGCAAATCAACTTCGTGAAGGGCGCAAAGATGACTTAATCATGCAAGTGAATTCAGATCGAGATTCAAACCCTAGCGAACTTTCACTTTTTCTTATTAAATTTGGAGAATAGGTGTAAACTTATGATTTTATGATCGATCAGTATGTAAAGCTAACTTAAGTGTTTTACCTCTTATGTCATCGATCACCCTTGTGGTCAAGATGCAGCTCAGATGGATGTAGGTGAGATTAGTTATGCAGTCAGATGCTACGACAGAGAACCATCGCATTGTTACTAAGCTCTTTCGCCATTATCGCAGATGGGTTCTTCGCTGTTTTTTCTGTTATTATTGTCGGGCTGAACTTAGATATACTAGAGAGCGTCAGAGATTACTTACGATTTTGTTCGTTGCTCATTTGTTCTGTTTGTTGAGAGAAAGAAAGATAGTTAAAGAAAGGTTAGCGCTTTCAGCCGTTTCCGTAAATAAAACATCTCTGATTTGCCATGTTTTCTCCAACTGCGCTTCGTCGCTTAACATGAAGCCAGTTCTACTGGAACCAGGATAAACTAATGAACTAGTCCTTAATGCATGATTGTGAAAAGTAACGTTTTCAAGAATAATGTGATGAGAATTATACTGCATAAAGATTTGCTTATTTTCAGTAGGCATGTGCTTTGAATAGTCTACAATATTCGCACAGTAAAAAGTTTACGTTTCAGAAGTTGCGAGAATTGGATGTCGAATTTCGCGAACTCTATGCCACCCAGCTGACAAGATACTTTAACGCGTTTCTCGCTGTTCATCAGTACATCTCGGATTTGAGCAGGTAAGACACGATTTCGAACTGTGTTTAAGGCATGATCATTCATTATAGGTTCGCCGATGAGGTGGAAGAAGGTTTCTACGTTCATGACACCATGGAGTCGATTTCTCAGGATCCAGACGGAAAGCAGCTGCTGGTATAAAGTTTTGCATATTTTCTTTGTTTATATAATTTATGTTCACTGCATTGCATTTCAATGATACTGTATTTTTTCTTATGCTATCTGAGCTGTATTTTGTGTGCAAACTATCTTTAATTAATGAAAACGGGCGGAGTGAGTGGTTACTCAGAAATCCTTCTCCTGAGACTTTCAGTTAGGTAACTCGCTCGGCTGAGAGTTCAGCGCATAATTTAGTCTTACAGCGGTAATGTTGATGCACATGTCAAGGAGAGCTACGATCAGTGATCACAAGGATCCTATGTCGAGGCTAAGTGCGTCAGAACGTATTTTTCGTCGACATTACGGTAGCCATGAAAAACTGTCGTGAATTTCAATCCCATCAATTGACAATAAGTGATACGGCGCTTACTATGGTATGACATGTCAATTCGTTTTCAGGCAAATTTCTCTTTTGAAACAACACCCTATCTACACCGCGGAACGCAAAGATTTGGACCCCTGATTCAGTAACAGTATGAAAGAAAACTTTATGAACTCGTTTCCATCATATAGTCTAGCCTCTAAGGAGTGGCTGGGAGAATGGCATCAGGAAATAAATAGGAAGTAACATCGTTCAAGAAGTCTATGACATGCCCTGGCATCAGATAATTGACCCTTTCAACAGAAGGCGATATCGGTTGTTGTGATATGAAGAGGTAATCTCCACAGAATCGTTCTGATTTTCGATCTATTTCTCGTAGATTTTTGTCATGGACACTCGATAGACAGCGTTCGATCACTTGTGGCGTTGACGACCACTGATTATAATCCAGTTCGGCAACCGTTGTCGAACAGCTCTAAACAAAACTCATGAGTTTCAGATCTAAAATATCTAACGTGTAAACGTTTTCGATTCATTGAACTTGTGTGCTTCTTTATAGATGCATCACTGTTTCTTTTCATTATTTGACTTGACTGATGCCCAAGCCATCCGGTAATTATTTGTTTTTGTTGATGTTCAATGTTTAAACCTGTGGCATCAGTCACATATTAAAAATTCGCATGGACAGCGATGTTGTTCCGGTAATCTGTTGAGATCTGATTATGTTATGTTAATTGATGGTTCTTGCTGTATCTGTCCAGTATCCCAATCATTGCAAAAGAACAGCGCTAAACATTCTTCCCACTCTACCTTTTGATTTCAATCAGTGAAAAATCGGTACACGTGAGTTCACAGGTATTGACATTAAGTGTCAACCGTCTGAATCAAACTCAGCAATCCCGTTCGTCAGGCCAAGAGGTTTAACTAGACTATTATTAAATTGATTAACAAGGTCTGACTTTATCAGCGTGGCGAAGATGGCAGTGATATTTTCTGGAAAATGATCATTGTCGTTTCTTTAATGAGTTTACTAGTCAAGTTTATTTTTATTTTTCTAATTTAATATTTTATCGAACTCATTTCTTTGAGGAACATCACTATCAGTGCTCAAGTGACTGTTATATTTATTAATTATTCTTGTCTAAAATGACTCCAGGAAAGATCTAAAAACTTTAGTATTATCTTGCGACAAAGAGTGCTGCCTGATAACAGTTCTTCAGTGGACTGGTTTATCTGAATTACCCCTGATTGGTATTACGTACCAATAGTTAATTTAATTGATTCATTTTAAAACGCGAGAGCTTCGCTTTCTGGTGGCGGGAGCAGCTGCTTCAGGAGGTCTTTGTAACGGTCCCTTTTCACTGCCAAAAAACAGGTCGTTATCTGTCGGGTGGTGGACTTTTAATGTTCATAAAAACGTTAAACCCTGTTGCAACACAAACGGATCTAAACGTAGTTAGACACAGACTTGTAATTCAAATGCGTTAATATTAAATTATGCAAAACTGATGTCGTTGATCTTCAATAGTTAGGGCAGTGCTGAAACGCCTGACTAATTAAATTTTTTGC